TGTCATGATGGGTCTACAAGAATTAAATAATGCACCACATCTTGTAAGGGTTTTTTATACTGTCATGATAGGTCTACAAGTAAAATACTAACTCTATTTACCTATGTATATCATGAAATATCCAAAATAATGGTTGATAATAAAACATGCACCAAGATGTACATAAAAATGAAATGAAAAATAAATATATATCATTAAAGAAATAATAGGACAGAAATAGATACAAAAGTGAATTATACACAAAAGGAAAACATGGAATGGGTAGACAAAAAAAAACTAAGTAAATACAACAGTAAACCAAGGACTGAATAAAATACAAAAATTAGTTTGTTTGTTATTGTGGGCAAAGTTAAACAATGGGCTATCTGTGATCTGTCAATCACAGGTACTGAAAAGCAGTTGCTAACATTCTAAGTACTCAGACTTACCACTGAGCCACCAGGGGCAATATCAAAGGAAAATAAGAAATAAACAGACAAAACCAGTACTAGTTTTGAATGTAAAGAACTCTTTCCAATGTCACTAAATTCTGTACTTAAAAACAGCATCAGGACTGATGGAATCTTATAAATATTTCACAAGATAAAATCAAGAAATTAGGTAAAATTTAAGTTATATGTTTAATATATTCAATTGTAAACACTAATCAGGATTGTATTATCATAGTGATAAAAATGGAAATGATTTTATAGAAGTGTTAGAGATTTTTTCACACAAAATATTTGAATCATGTGGCAACTATTCCTAATAAATATAATACATTAATCTTTTAAAACTATTACATTTTTACTAGAGAGAGAGACTGATTTTCTCCACTGCTTGACAGCCTTTCTTCTTGGATGTTATCATTCACTGACTTTTTATCACTTTCTTCATTTAAAGGATATAATCTAGGGTATTTAAACATGCATTCTTGCATTTCTTGAAACTTCTCAATGCAGTCATTTCCTTTAGGTTCAGCTGTACTGTAATGAAAACAAGAAAAGGCTTCTCGAAACTCGGGACCACACGGTCCTGTTGCCATCCCACCTAAACATGGACAGCTCCAGTTTATTTCTCCATTAGCTAAAATAAGACCTGAAATGTAAATCAGAACTAAATACACAATATATATATATGTATCTGTCTGTACAGATATACATTAAACATGTTAAAATCAGATTACCAGTTTTTTTTGTTTTTTTTATAGTTTAACTATTCAAACAACAGCAAGATAATCCTACTGTATCATTATGAGCAGCAAGTTTTCTTTCAATGCTTGCTGCTGGCTAATTTACTCAATGCTCCATCATTCTGTATTAAGTTTAAATACTTGCTGTTAGCTAAGTTAGTCAACAACCCATCATTTTGTATTAGTTTAAATACTTGCTGTTGGCTAAGTTAGTCAACAATCCATCATTTTGTATTAGTTTAAATACTCGTTGTTGGCTAAGTTAGTCAACAATCCATCATTCTGTATTAAGTTTAAATACTTGCTGTTAGCTAAGTTAGTCAACAATCCATCATTTTGTATTAGTTTAAATACTTGCTGTTGGCTAAGTTAGTCAACAATCTATCATTTTGTATTAGTTTAAATACTCGTTGTTGGCTAAGTTAGTCAACAATCCATCATTTTGTATTAGTTTAAATACTCGTTGTTGGCTAAGTTAGTCAACAATCCATCATTTTGTATTAGTTTAAATA